ACCTTTCTGGTCATGGGCTGCATCTGAAATTCTTTGTTTCTGGTTATGCACCTGTGTAAATTGTTTATATACTTTTGATTTAATAATATGTGGTCTCCTGTCTCTATCAATTTCATTTATTTTGTCATATTATTCTAGGTCTGTAGAATATGTTTTCAAAGTATTTCCTTTTTACTCCCTGGAATGTGTTAGAATCTGTTTCAATATGTGCTTTTTAGTCCCTACGTTTTATATGTGTTTTCTCTTCCTTTTCATTACTTTGGTTAATAAATCTTGATTATTTCTCAAAATAATAACTGTCCATTTCATCAATTCTAACACTTTTTATTCATTTCATTATTTCTCCTCAGATCCTTTTTGATTATTTGTTTCTTATCATCTACTATTTTAAGTTTATTTGTATTTCTTTTCTTTTCTTCTTTTTGATTTTTTTAAAATTTTTCAAGACAAGGTTTCCCTGAACTTTGTAGCTTGTCCAGGAACTAGCTCTTGTAGGCCAGGTTAGCCTCAAACTGACAGAGATCCACCTGCCTCTGCCTCCCAAGTGCTGGGATTAAAGGCATGTGTCACCACCATTTGGCTTGTATTTCTTGAGACACATCATTAGGGTTTTTTTTTATTTGAGATCTTCTAATTTTGTCATAAAACACATACTTAGAAACTGTGTGCATAAAACAGCTTTATTAATGAATTTTTCCAAGTTGAATTGCTCTTTTCTTCACTAACCCACTGGTCATTCAAGGATGCGTTTTTAACCTCTAAGACGTTCCATAGACTATGACTTCCTTCCCCATTGATTTCTCACTTAGTTCACTAGGATATGAAAAGATAAAAGAAACTATGACATTGTTATGAAGCTATGAAGAAAACTTTGTGGTTTTTAATGTAATATGTGTTGTAGGAGGTCACTTGATTGTTCCTGGCTGTCCAGACTCCCGAAATAATCATACAGAAACCATATTATTTGCAATATTGTTTGGCCAATAGCTTAACTATATTTTTTGGCAATCTCATATCTTAATTTAACCCATCTCCACTAATCTGTGTATTGTCACAAGGCTGTGGCTTAAAGGGTAAAGTTTCGGTATCTGTCTCTGGCAGGGCTACATGGCTTCTCCTGATTCTGCCTTCTTTTTCCCAGCATTCCCAGCATTCAGTTTAGTTTTTTTTTTTCTTTTTACCTAGCTCTGCTGTGCCCTATCAGGCCAAGCCAGTTTTTTTAAAAATTTTTATTTTTATAACAGTAGTAGCAGAGCAAGCCTGGGAGTCACCCAGAAGTTTGCACAGCATATCCCAGTAAGCTTCACCATGACACATCTGTGAGTCACAGAATTAGTTGAAGCTGAAGAGCTTCCTAGATCAGACTGACCTGTGGCCATATCTGTGGAGGATTGACTATCTGGAGTGAAAATTGTTGTAGGAAGGCCGTGCCAACCATGGGAGGCACAATTCCTTGGACAGGTGATCCTACCTATGGCGGCTTTATGCGAAAGGTAGCTAAACGGGAGACTGACAGATTTAAAAATCAACAGGTTGTCTCTAAAGTTTCTGCATAAAGCTCCTACTTGACTTCCTGCTCCGATTTCCCTCATTGATGGATTATTAAATCAAATAAATTCTCAAGTTTCTTGTAGTCAAACAGGGATTCAGAAGGGAAACTGAAACCAAGAGTTCAGAGGTGATGATTGTCTTATACATGCCATGGTGAGGACTTCTCATGGTGGAAATTGTGCCATGAAGCTGGCATATGTTTTGTTGGGCTCCTTGATGGCAAGAGACTCTGCACCTTTACTTTCTCTCTATCTCAGTACTAGGTTTTCAAGTGATGTCAGGTGACATGTGTCCTTCCAACTAAACATTTCTTGCAAGGAACAGATATTCGAAGATCCTTCCTAGGATCTAGGCCACTGACAATCTAGATGTAGCTGTGAGAAAAAAACACATTTAAAGCTTAGCATTCTGCTCTTTTAAAAGAGTATTTCTCACACATACAGAACCTTGCTTCCTAAGTAAGGCATTCTCACCATTGCTGCCGTGAAACATAGTCACATTTTCATACGCCATTGGATCCCAAACACAAGTGGGGTAGAATTGCAATCCTCAGCACTTCAGGTTTATCAGTATGGGCTGGCAGGAAAAAGAGCTTCACTCTTGCTCAAGCCAAAAGTGCTTTAACCAGGCTGATGGGTTCCATTGATGCAGAGCTATAGACTTCCTCTGTCTGTGTTAGCACCACAGTGCAGCTCAAATTTGTGTCTGATCTCACCCCCAGAATTTTCAAAAAGCAGCACACATAAAACACTGGCTATAAGAACGTGCCTTGTATTATTTTAAAGAAGGATACGATATATTTACTAAGATCTTTCTTGAGCCCAGAGAAAATCTGCATTGTTATTCTAGCTGACAGGGGCATTTACTTTAAGACAGAGTCAGTACTTCATCAGTTGGTAAGATCTGAATACTTTGCCTAACAGGTGATTTCAAAGTTCTCAGTTTCCCTGAGGATTTTGCCAATATTCCAGTAAGTTATGAAACAACTGTGGACACAGAAAGGAACAGAAGTAGAGGAATAGGTGACCACAAGTATTTCTTATTTTTTAAAAATGAAATAATGCTTTCACATTTAACAATGTGACATTACTGGGTGGGTGTGTGTGCACATGCACACACGCTCACACAAGCCTGTTTGTTCATGTGCATATGTGTGTGCATCTTATAGATGCTAAAGTATAGCCTGAATAATAAAAACCCAGAGACAGATATTGGGGTTCAACCTGAAGATCAGAAAAGCAAACAGCCAAGCCACTACAGAGCTCTTAACTCTAAGAAATCCTCAGACTGAAACAGAGCTAGTTCCTGTAGCAGCTACCACGTGGATCTGTTTCTGTATTGATCTTGTGTAGCCCAGGATAGCCTTGAACTCACAGAGATCCATCTGCCTCTGTCTCCCAAATCCTGGGATTATAGATCTGTGACACCACTGCCTGGCCTCTAGTGGCTTAGTTTTACCTTCTGGTCTTCATGAAAACTTTATTTATAAAGCCTAAATAAAATGTCACTATACTAGAGAACAGCTTCAGATGTTACTTGGCATAGAACTCATGGCAACCATTACTGCTTGACAAATTGCCAGCATTTTAACATTGCAGATCACAGTTCTTCAGCACCTTTTAACTTTAATTTTAATGATTCTCACTATGTGTTATGAGAGTTCTCTTATGAATTTTCTTTTGGGAAATTTTGTACAGGCTTTGAAAGCTAAAAATGTAAAAAATCGCAGCCTTCTTAAACAAAATATTTTTTGGGGAAAAAAAAATCCCTGCCATTGCAGAGCCAGAAAAACATGGTACCCTCCTAATTGCGCCAAGAACAGGAAAGTTAAGAGATTTACTAGACACACTTGATCCCAAGGATGAAACACTGACAATCCAGGTCTAGAATCTGAGTCATTTAATAAGTGTTGAGAGATCAGAATGGTACCACATAATGAGAAAAAAATAAAACAACAGGACCTTTCCTTTTGGGAGAATATAAGAACTGGCCCATGTAGTAAGACTAAGAAACAAAGGGACACAATTAAGGAACAGCTCAGCACAAATGGTGCATCACGCCACTTAGAGAATGAAAATTACTCTTAATTGCAATGAGTGTCTGGTTCCCGAAGTCCTTTTTCCAAGGGCAGGCATTTAGATAAGGACCTCCATTCCCTCACGGGTGTGAGGAAAGTTCCCACTTGCTCAAAAGGGAGACACTCTTATCTCTCTGGCAGAGGAACTTTTGGCCCTTCCACTAACACACAACTGGTGCCTATTAACTCATCACGGTCAATACTAGATTCCTCAACCCCGATCTGAAGTCACACCCCAGGTCATATGCCACTTCTTACCAATTTAATCCTATGTACAACTATATAGTATAAAAGGTATATATTTTTTCAATAGACATGTTGGTAGCCAACCTGATTCGCTGATTCACTCTCAGATTGTATCTGTCTCCTTTTTCTCTTCACTGCCTCCACATATCCTATTTGGGATGTGAACTCCCCCCTACAACCCATCCACTTGAGGCTGGTCTCCATCCATTACTCATCAATAGCGTCTTTCGCTCCAGAATATCAACTTGTCAAACCTTGGCAAGCTGTCGAGGCTTCCTGACTAGTGAATGCCAGTGGTTTGCCTGTTTCTATCTCCCCAGTGCTGATTAAAATATGTAGGGCACTAGATTCCTTCATAAGTGATTTGGGGATCAAACCCAAGTCCTCCTGTTTACTCAGAAAGAATTCTATAGACAGAGCTCTCTACTTCTCACTAGTTTATAATTTTCAAATTTTGGGGGAACTACATTTCTAAAATTAATACTGAGAAAGGATGAAGTATTTCAATGTAATGATAACAAAGATCTGAGGAGCACAAACCACACAGGAATTAGGGAGAAGAAAGGGTTTTAGAAAGACAGATTAGGAGAGAAACTATTTGTAATGACAGAGACCTGGCTGTCCTGCACAAATTCCTGCATCCCATAATGGCATCCACTCAGTAGCATTATGCCTGAAGGATTCTAAGGTAGATTTTCAATATCCTTGTTAATATCTCTCTCCTGAACCTCCTCATTCACGTATTTTCAGCAGCAGTCCTAAAGTCACTGAAGACATATCAATAACCTTTCCTTGAAATTCAGTATCCTATTACTCTTAGGTAAACATACTCCTTCCATGACAAATTCTGTTTCATATTTATTTAACGCAGTTGCTTATTTCTTTTGACAAAGAAAAATTGTGAGTACTTTCTCATGTGTTTGGTTTCTCATGGTGATCTGAGATTATTCTCTTGTGTTTCAGAAGTGTTCCGAGGAAGTAGAAGGAGGCTCATTCTTATTATGTCACTAGGCAGATTAAGCAAAGTTAAATGCCGCCAAATAACCCTATGAATGCTGGAAGACTTGCTCCTACAACTGCTGAAAGTCTTTCTGACTGTATAATTATTCCTTGAATCAGTACTTACATTATGCTTTGTGAGGTTTGAAATATTAGCTGCTATTGCTTGGAGCCAATCCATGCAGTCTTCAGTAGACAGGCACTGAATAATTCCACTGCAGACTCCATCCACAGCAACAACTTGGAAAGCATTCTGCCTAAAGTTGCATCAGAGCAGAAGAGACCAAACACCTTGTTAGTTAGCTGTTTGGAACTCAGTCCTGTACCTAGAAGAGCTCCTTCTTCATACAACTGAACAAACAGCTTCCAGAGTCAAATTTGATTACCTTCTTTATAGATATATCTGCTTTTAAATAAAGCAACAAAAAGATCAAGATATTATGCAATTCCAAATAATTAAATAACATTCTTAAATTCAGGTAAATGTTGGCAAAGCATGTGAAATTGAACAGCCTCAACTCAGGGGCATCTTTTCCCTTTGGCCAAACATGCAGTTTATGATTCTTTCTCTGATCTTTTGACATGTGCTATTACATTTCCTGACTTACAGTGAAAAGATTGCAAACACAAACATTAAACATTATATTGTTAACTCATGCTAATTTCTCAAGTGTTCTTTGGATATAGGGTTAATAGATAGGAATACATGAAACCACAGCATAAATAGAAGACCCCAAAGGTTCTGATCCTGAACACTCATGTATTGTGTAACATAGTGCATTTTAAATGATGGAGCCATACAAAGTTTCCACAGATGACCATTCAAAATAGAATACTAGCTTTATGTATTTTTGAGGAATCTACAGCTTGCGTTTCATTTCAAACCCCATCCAGATGTTCAACTGGGAACTTGGCCCTCCATTCCAAACCCCACCCTTTAGAAATCTCCTCCCCATTAGCTGCTCAAGATCAAGCCTACAGAGTAATGCAGCTCTGATCCCTATAGCTGCCAGGAGATTTCATCCACTCTGTTTCTCCGAGACCATCCAGGAGTGCTTTGGTCATTAAATCTGAACTTTTAATTCAGCCTGACCTGACTTACTCCATCACCAGAAAAATTGTTGATCCAATACTTATCATCTTGCACTGAACCCAGGTAGAGTTGAGTCTTTCCAGAGACCATGTGGCCATGGAAAGCCACGCTCCCTTCGATTCCGCCTCTGTCAACCCCAGACCAGCTTTTGCTAAATTCCCAAATTAAAATCCTGCTCCCAAGCTAAAATCCTATAATCTCTTCCACCTACAAATTGGTGTGCCAAGGTGGACCAAATGCATCCACATAAATGGAGGCTGCTCGCTTGTTTCCTGACCACTCAGATCAGAAATAATCACACAGATACTATATTAATTTCAATAGCTTAAGTGTATTTCTAGCTAGATCTTATATCTTAAATTAACCTATCTGAGATTCACTGCAAGGTTGTGACCTACTAGCAAGGTTCCAGCAAGCACCTGCGGGTGTCTTTCTCTTTTGGCAGCTATATAGGGTCTCTCCCTACTCCACCTACTTTCTCCCAGCATTCAGTTTAGCTTTCCCAGACTAGCTCTATTCTGCCTTGCTGTAAGCCCAAACAGTTTCTTTATTCATTAACCAATAAAAGCAACACAGATACAGAAGGGCTTCCCACATCACTGATAGATTTTCCAGTTTAACAGCGGTCACCCAACCCACTACTGGGTTTCCAATACTTATCAGTATTCAAATATTCTCTCCAAATACACCTTTACTGGCTCTATCAGTTTACAGCTGAGCATTTGAGGATATTAGTTGTTCCCTAACACAAAGGAAAACCCAGGGAACATATATCTGGCTCAGAGTCATGAGTAGGCCTCTGTCCATTTAATCTTTCTCTAGACCAGATCCAGTCTCTAGTGGAACACTTGATGCCTGATAGACTTTTTTCCAAATCACTGTGTATTCACATTGTTAACAGTTTTAGTGACAGTAGTTCTCATACCTGACGCTTCAAACTGAAGACAGACAAGTGCTCAAACATGCATCACTGATTTGCTCTTAACATAGATGTTTGTTAGTAATTAAGTGATTTCAAACTTCTTGTGATAAAAACATGCTTCATGAAAAAAAAGTATATTCAAAATTCACCTACACATTAAGTTTAATTCATGTATTTGGCTGACCGTCTAGCCTTTAATGGTGGAGCCACCTCTCTAGCCCTGAGCTCTAATTCCAATGCTCCACAGTAAGTATGGTGTCTACAGCATCCAGACATAAGGTTGGAGAGATGGCTCAGAAATTAAAAGCAAAGACTCCTCATTCAGACCTAAATTCTATTCTCACCCCCCACATGGATGCTTACAACCATCTGTAAACAATAGTCCCTGGGGATAGACATCCTCTTCTGACTTTCAGGGCAACTAAATATCTACCTGTTGCACAGACATACATGCAGGTTAAACACACATACATGTTAATAATTTTTAAATGTCCAGGCAGAAACACAACTATCTATGAAAAATGAGAACAGATTTGAACGTAGCGATGTATACTTTTTTTCCACTCTGTGATTGTCATGACTATTTCTTTATAAACTACAATAAGAGGACAACAGCTAGGTATTTTTAATTGATCAATTTTAAAATTTATGTAATCTTGTATCTTATGTAGTCTATGATATAATAAATCTGAGAAACTAATCTTTTATACACCAGACCTGAATATTAGTACAGGGTTTTTATACTCTGTGTAATGAACGTAAATAACATACATTTATAATTATTGAAGTTAATTACTCTTATTTTTATTAGTAATTGATTCTAAGTCATAAGTCTGCTTACTTTGGTTTGGTCAAGAGAAATAAGATAAATAATGATATTTACACGTTAGAAACAAGAATTTCAGAGGCTAAAGTATACAAAATTATTGTGACTTGATTACTGTCACTATGAGTAGGATCCTGGATATAGAATGGGTATAGAAAATTGGGAAAGGTTATGTGGGATTTCCTGGCAATGAAAAGCTAGCATAGATCCATGTTAAGCATTTGTCTGGTTATCATGAATAGATAATCAGTATGGGTCAACCTATTATAAGGAAAGGCCATATGACTATGAAAATCTTCTAAGGTACACAGATGAATTAGGACACTTGGACAAATGGATGCAGTTCAATAACTCCATGATTAAAAATAAATAAAAAGAGACAACAGAACTAAAATTCCTCCAGGTTTTTTACCTAAAGAACAGAACAACTATGGTGGAAAAAGCAAGGAAAAGCCTACATTTTATAAAGAAATCATAAATCCAAAACAAACATGGGGGTGCAAAAGGCACAGTATATTTTGAGAAAGTATGGTTGCTGGGTCTGTTTATAATAAGACCTCATCTATAAGAGCTTGCAAATGAGTCTATGCATGCCTAGATTGGACAATTAGTTAATTTGGAGTAATTACAAAGGAAAGAAAGAAACAAAAAGAAGCTCTAGCTCTCAATTAAGTATTGTTCTCAAATCACAGGCAGCAAGCCCATCGTCCTCTCGCCCTGATTAAACCTCGGGACTCTTCCTTCATTTCTATTAAAAGAAAAATGTTTCTATTAAAAGAAAAAACATTATAAGAATACATCTCAATTACAGTGTTCTATCCTTGAAATTCATTAACCCAATACCCAGACTTCCCAAGTCCTCCTCCAGAGTCTAAAGTAATGTGCTGTTCTGACCTCTTCATCCACATATTTTCCATAATCTACAGGATTTAGACCAGTTCTCACAACCTGTGCCGCAGCCAAAGCTAGTCTCCTCTCCTTTCACTCTATGCTTGGGCCCATATCCTCCTGTTTGTCCACAGCACAACAGGTTCCTCCGTGTCATACCCAACTTTTCCATAAATTCTTATTATCTACTCCCACATTCCCACCTTGGAACTGGAATCACATCCTGTACACCCAGCTAAGACGCAAATCTGCATACCTGACTGTGTTCTATCCAAACTACTAACTTTTAAGCTAAGTCTGCTCCCAAATCCTTTCTCCCCAATATTACTTCACCCATAACAAACTTAAAACTAATAAAGAAAGTCCAAATACCCAGTTTTATCCAGGGGTACCAACAGTATATCAAGCCAGTATTTCTGGCCAAAATTGACCAGTCTTATGAAAATGCTTGACAATGAGTATTATATAGATGAAGCCTTAGGTCACAGAAATTAAATCATAATACATCTCTGAAAGTATTCAAGGAGCATAAAGAAAACACAAAGAAGCAGCTTACTGAAATCTAGGAGAAAGTGCTTAAGGAAATAAAGGCTAAGTGATGCCCAGGAAAACACAAAAAGCTAATGGTAATGACAAAGAAAAACCCGAACTTGAAAATTAAATTCAACAGGGAAACATTGAAGAGGACTCAAGTGAAATGAAGATGGAACTATAAAACCCAGGAGCACATCTAGAAAACTCAACATTGGAAAAACAAGAACAGAACAAACCCAAACACAGTCAGTAGCAAGAGATAATAGAACTAGAGCTAAAATGAAAAAATAAAGAAAGCAATGCAAAGAATCAACAACTCTAATATCTGCTTTTCGAGAAGATTAACAAAATTGACAAACCATTTGTCCAACTAACTAAAATAAAGAGAGGATTCAAATGAATAGAGTCAGGAATAAAGAGGGAAATATTACAGTAGGTTTCAAAAAAAGCCCTAATATTAAAAGGTAATATTTTTAAAAACATGTGCTCCATGAAGATAGAAAATCTAAAACAAATGGATTTTTTCTAGATTCAAACAAACCACCAAAGTTTAAAAAAATGTAATCAACCTATAAGACTGATAAAGATGAGGATATTTAAAATATATGGTAATATAAACTATAATATATTTATAATTTACAAATCATTTATATAATACATTATAAAATATATATTTTCCAGTGGTGTAGGCATTCATCTTTAATCCCAGTACTGAGGAGACAGAGGTAGGCAGATCTATTTGAGTTCAAGGTTAGCCTGGTCTATAAGAGCTAGTTTCAGGACAGGTTCCAAAGCTACAGAGAAACCCTGTCTCAAAAAAACAATATATATGTTTTATATAATATAATTTGTATATATATATATATATATATATATATATATATATATATATATATGACAACCACAAAGTGATACCCTGTGTTTACAGTCGCCACAACAAGCATTTATGTTCATGGTGTACAGTTTTTTGTTTTTTCTTCTCACAGGATAAATGAACTTACTATTTCTGCATCATAGCCTGTGGGCTCATGGAAAGAGGATTTCAATTAGCTTTTACTGAGAGAACAGGTGAATGTTAAGTTAACTGTTGGATATGAATTACTATGGAAATCTATTGTGAATAATGTTTTGTTTGTAACCTATTTTACTGCAATGCTAAAAAGTATAATTAATTCAGTAGCTTTAACTTATTGGGCTTAGGCAGCATGATCCTAAAATTATACAGCTATTTGGGATCTCTGAATTCTTTTTTGATAGAAATTGTTTGATAGAAAATGTGCAAACATTTATGTAAGAAAACTCTGTCTGTTTTTAAAATAACCAAATGAAGCAAATGACCACTCTTAAAAAATAGGTCTTAATACAAATATCAGGAGAATTCTTAAGTACAAAGTTCAGGATTCAGTGAAGAAAGAAGGAAAATCAGATAGATTACAAGGGTATGTTTAAATAGACAGACTTATGAAAGCAATAATATGTCTTGAGAACTGTGATAAATATCATTAAAATTTTACCAAATGTTGAATAGACAAGGAAAGCCCAAAATGTTCAATGTTCTGAACTTATAATTTTTCCAGAAAAAGTGAAATCCATGTATTATATTATGCTAAACAGTCATGCAAGTGTGAAGTTTGGGTCAAATCAAAACAATAAGTGAATATATGTATTATATATTATGCATCAGCCTAAAATAGAAAAAATAAAGAAGTACAAATAACTACCTAAGAATTAAGGAAAAATAAAATAAATTAGTACAATTAGCTTATTGAGAGAAAGGACTCAAAGAAAAGTCCTTGATCATACTTAGGGCTCACAGGTGTAAACACTAAAAATAATAAATTTAGAAATTACAGAATGGACTAAAGACATAACCAGATGTTTCATCAAAGTAAAATTTTTCGTTGGTAAATATAATCAAAAGCTGGTCAACATCACTAGAATGTGCATTATCAGGAGGCATGTCATCACATCCCCTAGGAGAATAAAGCAACTGGCAAGCTCTCAAACCTGTAGTAAGAAGGGACACGGACAGACTGAGGCTAGAAAGATTCATCGGGCTCTTACAAAACTCCCAGCCAATGCTTTCCAAAGAAACTATCATCTATCAAATCTCTACGCCACTATTCATACCATTTGTGCTATTTTCCAGTTATCATAAAACCTAACATCTTACAAATGGTCATTACTTTTTTTAAAAAAAATTATTAAACTACTTTGAAAGTGAAAAGAAATAGTGGGGTATGAAGAGTTGAAAAGGGAAGCTACCAATTCTACTAAGCAATATTGAATCTAATAAGTCTCATGTTAAATGAGTCCATTAACAAACATCATCAAATGATGAAATAATAGAGATAAAGAATAGATTTGTAATTGCTGAGGCTTACAAAACAGCAAAGGTCGTAGGGCAAAGGTATTCAAGTGTATCATGAAGGACCACAGTGGATTCATAGATGAGGGAGGTGTTTAGGGTCTCTGCTGCGATTTTACACGAAGGAACATGCACAGGCTGCATCATCCCATGTTGAAATTTTACTATTTGTTATTTGGGGGCTCTCCACCCAACTCCCAAATAAATACATGGAGGCTAACCCTTAATTATGAATGCCACACCTGCTTGGCTTGTTTCCAGTCAACTTTTCTTAACTTAAATTATCCCAACTACCTTTAGCCCCTGGGCTTTTACCTGACTCTATTCTCTATAGCTTTCCTTACTTCTTGCTCTGTGGCTAGCTGTGTGCCTGGGTGTCTGGCCCCTACCGTCCTTCCCTCCTTCTTTTATTGCTCCTGTCCCTCTTCTTGTTATTCCTCTACTTTCTCTCTGCCTAAGCCTCGCCTAGTCTCTCTCCTGCATAGTTACTGGCCATTCAGCTCTTTATTAGACCAATCAATTGTTTTAGATAGGCGAAGCAGCACAACTTCACAGAGTTAAGCAAATGCAACATAAAAGAATAAAACACATCTTAGCATCATTAAGCAAACATTGCACAGCACAAATGAGTGTAATACATATTAAACTAAGCTCCACAATGATCTCATAAAGGTAAGAAACTCACCCAAAGTAATAATGGAATGCAGATGTTATCAATGCCAATTTTCTGGCTATGAAATCACACTACAATTTTGAAAGCTGTTGTATTATAAAAATGGTTAAAGGTACAAGAAATCTTATATATCACTTCTTCCACCTGAATGTTACTCTACAATCACTTCAAAACAGAAATGGTGTAATCATAAAAATAGTATTTCATATGGAAAAATATCAGACTAGTAGATACAATACAAAATATATCATTACCTAAATTCAAAGAAACTAAACTAAATAATCTGTTATAGTATTGCATTTTTTACTTTAGAATAAAAACAAAAAACAAAGAAAAATTTCAAACATAGGATACAATGGAGAGATATTTTTAGAAAACTAGGAATTATTGAAGGAAGGGAGAAATATACAGGCACTTACTCATCAATACCAATCTCCTGTCATATAGATGAACATTTGAACATAGAAAACACAATGTAATTTTCAAAAATAAACACAGATATAGAAATTTTAAATCTTTGTGTATCCTATAGATTAAAATTAAATATAGAGAGCAAATTCAGACAACTAAAAGTAGAAATACATATATTTATCATCAAAATGGACTCTAACTCAGCCATTGCATTTCTTATAATTCATAAAAAATTATCATTCATAATGCTGAGGATCAAAATTCCTCATAAATGAATATGCTCAAACTGAAATATGTAGAACTTTTCAACAAAATGACGATGCCTGTGCTTTTATAAAAAATAAGGGGGACATTTCCCAAATAATATACAATTAGAGAAAAACTTGCTTTCAACAAATATCACAGGTTTAAAATTATCCATGATGAAATCACAAAAGAAAGCCAAAACCAGAACAATAATTCAACTTCCTAACTCCTTCAAAAATTTTAAATACATTCTTATGTAGCCCATGGTTTAAAAATATTTAGTACGTGAAAAGATATGATTGTCAACACAAGTAAATTTTAAATGCTGACAATAAAAAAGTGGCTGCATACTTCTGGGGTCCCCTTTCTTAATTAAAGACCTTGACCTCAAGCAGTGAGCAAGAGGAGGCCAGGAAAGTCTAATCATTGGTTATTGAGGGATCTTGGAGTTGAGTAGTGACAAGATAGTTGTTACCTGGAGGTTCCTTATCTTACCCATCCCTAGCAGGGTCTGGTAGGTGCCTCCCACACTGGAAAGCAATAAGCTACACAAGTCACCTGTCTGAGCTCACGGACACAAGAAGGTAAAAACCAACCAAAGAACCATTTTGGAGCCTGACTGACCTAGTGAGCAGCTACCAACTGTGCGTCAAAGCTGATCAAGAAGCTTTGGTGGAAACAGACAGAAATGCTTTCTTTCCAGAGAGGTTTCTCAGTCCCTGAGGCATCTATCTATCTATCTCAAAAAATAATAATGATCAAGATGATAAGCATCAGGCACAATATCAAACCAAGGGACTCAGGAAGTAGAACAACAACAACAAGAAAAATCAAGAAAAACAATGCAGAAACTTTTAATTTAAATTCTATAAAAAAAAGGGAGGGGCACAACCCACAAATCTGTTATCGAAAAACAATTCATTCCACATCCCTAGCAATATTGAACATGATAAAAATTTTGAAAAGCAAACTCATATATACTAACTTACAAAACTGTTAACATGAGAATGGTAGATAATTAACATCAAAGGTCTCAGATGCTACTCAATACCCTCAGTTAGATTCCTAGCACCACTCAAAAAGATAAATGTATAAGCAATATGAGTCTTTGGAAAATAAAACAGCTTATTAAAATTAACTCGAGAAATATTAAGCCCACTAAGTTATAGTAATATATATATATGATCCACTGTAATCATTTATGATAGAAACAGGGCTTCCACTGCCTTGGGTTCAATATTTACCATGGTCTACAATGGGAGAGAATTCCTGTATGACTATCATGTACTTTCAGAAGCATGCTAAAATAAGAATGACATGGCACATTATGCTGAAAGTTTGAGCACTGACCCTATTCAATCAGAGATTAGAACCTGTAAACAGACTCACCGACTCAGGTCAGTCCCGGGCAGGTACTGGGAGAAGCGGGCATGCAGTAGGGGAATGAGCCTGAGGTCACACCACCGCTTCTCCCACCGCAAGCCTGGAGATGTGGGCCACGAAGAGCAGGAAAGTGTATCCTGAAAAGAGTGACATGTTCAGAAGGTCTGTGCTTCCATGGGTTCCCAGACTTATCACTGGGGGATGTTAATTTTTTCAATTGTTTTCAATAGTTTGATAAGCCTAAGTAATCCCCCACTCTTGGGCCCATAATTCTACTTCAAAATGTCATTGTTAACAGAGCTCTGTAAGAAGGATAGGAAAGACCAAGAAAATACTGAAAATTACGGGTGAAGAGGAAGAAAACATGAAACTGTGACAGAGTGGAATGTGTTCAAGAATGGAAGAAATTGGAAAAATTACTACCACGGGGAAGCAACAAAACCCCTTGGAAGATGAAGTCATTTGTTCAATTGGCCAAGAGTTTTGAGTTCCTGCAAGTGTCCAAGCATCATCATATTTACAAATATCTTTCAAATGCCAGTGTGTAAATACACACTGAACATATTCATTATGAATCTTGAAAATATTTCTGAATTAATGAACACTCCTGCAAGTGACTCTAGGAAGTCTTGAATACTGTTTTCATTTAGTTTCAAAAAGTTTAGGTTTTTTACATCACTTTCATGTCATATCAAGGATATAATTGTTCCTTTAATATTAAATGTGTTTAATATTATATCTGGTTTTCTTGGGGATTTTTAAAATACCTTTTTATTAATTTTTGAGATTATATTTATATAATTTTCACTTTTCTTTAATTCCCTTCAAACTCTCCTGTGTACTCCACATCTTTCTCTCATTCAATTCATACCATCTTTTTCTGTATTACACTGTGCTTGTGTATTCTTAAATGCATACATGCAATCTGCTCAGTTCATGTAATCTTTCTAGAGTGCATATGTTCTCAGGAATGACTGCTTGATATTGTATAACCAATAGACCTTTCTGGTATCATTAACTCTAGAACTCAGAAAGGAAAGGATGTTTTCTGGTCAGATACGGCTCATGTCTTTTAAGTCTTTTGTCAGAGGTGCACAATGTCTTCAGTAAGAAGGACTTATAATTTAATCTCCAGAAGGCAAGTAAGGGAAACAACAGCAGCCTGTATTGTTTTAGAATTCACTAGGCACCCCCATATTAACAATTCAAAGTGTGGCAATAAGCTTGCAACGAAGGAAAGCAACCAATAGTCACTCCTATACAGCTGTGACACCTACTAACCACAATAATGAACAGAATGGAAATCTACCCCTAAGGGTGCAATTATGGAACTCATATCTTGATTATAATCGTAAGCTGCCTAATAGAATTTAAGGTCCACTTAATTAGAAGAAAATCACACCTAGCACTTGAAATCTAGCCAAAACTTGGAGCTAGTAAGGCCATGGATATAAGAGGAGAACATAATGTTGCCACTTCATTAAATGAGCACAATTCTTAGCTGCATTCTAACTGCTTCTCCTTATACTCATAAGCAAGTACCATTCTCAATCTTTTCAAAGAATCTTCTTGCAGGAAAATTCATTACAGACAACAACAACTGCTCACAATATAGACAAAACATAATCTTGGGGTGCCCAATTCCAGTGAATACAACTCTTCCACCTAAGGACTGGAGTCGATCTAAGAAGATGGGGTAAGAATGCAAGAGCAAAAATATCTGGGAATCTGCAGACTGTGTCTTCTAGAAATGATATGGAGCCTTCACTAATGAGATTGGGAATATGGCTGCCTAGTCACGACCTGAACCCTGACAGTACCAACAGATACGCTAACGTCAGAGAGGAATATCTTCCAGTACCCGATCACAGAAAAAGAAGTAGACATAACTAAGAAATTCTGAAAGTAGGACACTTAATCTGCCCTAGGGATGAGCTACTTATTTGGTTTGCTAGTATCCAGTGGTCAGCCCTGAAATTATAATTATACATGTGGCACTAAACATACTCATGAAGTTGAATTGATGCATTTATTTCTGTCTCTCTCTGTGTCTTTTTGTGCGTGTGTGTGTGTGTGTGTGTGTGTGTCTGTCTGTCTATCTGTCTGTCTGTGTTTGTGTAACATAGGAAAAAAACTATGAATTTGAGAGGTGGAAAAGGTTGACATGGGAAAGATTTGAGTGAGTAAAGTGAAGAGGAAAATCTATGCGATTATATTTTATCTAAAAAAATCATTAAGAGGCAAAGCTATTTATAAGCATGAAGTTTATAGGAAAAGCACTTCTACAGTCTCACAATAATATTGCTCACATGCTGCTTATTATTATTATCTATACTATTACCTCTGGTTCATTAAGTACTTTGTAACTTTTTTTCAAGATAAAGATATGCTCATGTTACTGAGTGAATACAAGACTATGTTCAGCAGCAGCAATGAATCATTTTATTTAAAGGAGAAACATGGGGGAAGCCTCCATCCTTTGAAGCATTGTCTAGGCAGATAAACAAAGCTTCCCAATTAATCAGGTCCTTCCATCTGCTGTCCTCCTGCCAAATTTCAGGGTTGTTGAGCCAAGTAATGGGAATGATTATTTATGTTGTATGTCATGGTAGTCAATCACTCATCAGGCGAGGATTCTATGTAGATGGGCATCTATAAGAAATTCATTTGCTAAGTCATCCAACCTGTGATAGTCAGGGATGATTGATTCATTACAACTAACGCTTCTTTGATTCCACAGGAAAAGCATCTATCATAACACGTCTCACACTTATAAGCAGATACAAAATAATAAAAAGAATAGTTCAGATTCTTGCTGGCTATTTGATATATTGGCAATTTATTTTGGTAGATTATTTAACAGTGATTTTTTTCATATTCTTTGAATATGAATTCCTCCATTTGGTTATCATTTTCTGTGAATACACAAGAGAATATATGAAAGAATATTAAATGATTGGGCCAATGTGATATCAAGGACAATGACAGCCATAAGTGGGTATGATATTTACATAACACTGTTAGGAGTAATAGATCTGAAGATATATTTTCATTGCATTTTAATATCCTCATGAATTAATATGGAAAAAGTCATCTTTTATTTCATACTTCTTTGTAAAATCTATGAATTATGCCCAACTTCAACTTTTAGAATAATTTAGCCTGATATAGATGCTACTATAAATCATATTCACAGTTGAATATTTAACACCATTAAAATAATTCTTATTTTAATCATAAAGATAAGATACAGATTTCAAGACTTCTTTTGCTAACAGTTATTTATGGTAACATATATTGTGGCCTATAACAATAATTAAATGGTTTTGAGAAGTGTATTTCTCAGACTTACTCAACAATATCAAGAATATTGTTTTCTTCAAATATTAACCAGGCATATGGAAGAAGTAGCATTTACATGCTTCATGCTTTACAACAGAATATTCTCCAACATTTAATACACATCACATGATGGCTTTGAAAAACAACAAAATTGCCAAAAAGGAATTGTATGTGGAATAAAATGCCAGTCCAAATATTTTATAAAATAAGTTGGCATAGAAAGCGGATTCTAGGTAAAAAAAAAAAAATAAGGAATGTGTTTTCAAAGTGTATTATCTATGTGAGTAAGTGTCATTTTCCATTGAATTTGGGAGAAAATTTTTAACTTCACCTCAAGAAAAAAAAATAATAAAGAAGAGGATTTGGCTCAAGCAACTCAGTTCAGTAATACAAGGGATATTTGTGTCCTTGAAATCAGTGACATTTTATGCATGTAGGAGTAGTCATTTAAAAATAACACCCGAAATTTTTGTATTTAAGGCTTGAATTCTCCTGGTTTTTAAAGTGTTTTTCTAAAATAAAGAAATAATAGTTCAGCAAAACAACATCCTATTGCTCAAAATTTGATTTAAAAATCATAGATATTGAGACTGGGTGGTAATGGTCCATGCCTTTATCCCAGCACTTGGGAGGCAGATGCAGAAGGATCTCTGTGAGTTCAAGGCCACCCTGGTCTACAAGAGCTAGCTCCAGGACAGCTAGGTAGGACTGCAACACATAGAACCCCTGTTTCGAAAAACCAAAAATAAACCAACAAAAAAAGTCATAGGTATTCAAAATGCAGTTCCACACAATCTCTTTGTTATTGAACAATGGTTATGATAACTGTAAATCTTTGAGTAGGGAGTTTCTAGTCTCTCCTTTTGTATTGAAGCTTATCCAGAGCATGGAAGGGAAATTGGTTTGAACCAACTGCACTCAGAAGACAGAACCAGCAGATGCACCAAGAGGAGCAGAGCCACCTTTGCTTTATAGTCTTCCAACTTTCAGATCTTAACTACATCCGTGTTCAGAGTCTTCACAGATCCCTAGTTCTTTTATTTTTTACATTAAAGGTGATTAACATTCTGGAGGTCAGAAACCACAATTAAGTAGACCCTATAATACCACATAAAGTGCCTCTATAGACTTCAGCAAGATTCATTTAATGGAAATACACCAACATTTCCTCATTATAATATATTTTACTTGAATTTATATGTTGATTCTTCTTTACAGCACCCATTATAAACTTTCATTACACTAAAATACATCTATCAGTGCAACAGTGATGAAAAAAATTATACATTATGAATCAGTCTATGGTAGCATGGAATGTATATGTCATGTTGTATTCAGAATTCTCTACGACTGTCTATGATGAAAATAGTGAGGTTGCAGAATTAGTAGTAATTGCTTTGTCCTAATTACAGGTTTCTAAAGAATGATAGTGTTGTTTCTATATAAAACAATGCAATGAGTAGCAAACAAACCATAATGATTCCTTCTCTTACGCCTTTCATCCTGACTTCTCTACTTCCCATTACTGCAGAGGAGATAAAGGACTTCAGACAAAATCTACATTAAGAACGTGAACAAACACCTTTCTCCAGGGCTGAAGTAGATGAGGTGGCTTTTCTGTCTTCTAACATGACTAATGGGGGATCTCAGAGGAAACCTGAAAGACTGGAGGAACCATAGGCTTTGTAGCCAACATCTTGTCAAATATTTGTTCCGTCTCCTCTGCTGATCATCTACAGAAGGCTGTTCTCGTTCCTTCCCCTATGCAAATCACACAGGATACCTGAACTCCCTTCAGGGGCTCATGACTCTGAGGGAAACACTTGAAAGGAGCAATCAGCTATGAAAGGACACAGCTGTTCACATCACCAGGACAACCACAGTAATTGAAGATAATGGGTACCAAGGAAATGATGTTGAGCAACAATTTATAAAAGTGTGTGTGTGTGTGTGTGTGTGTGTTTATGCATGTATGCATGTGTTTGTGTCTGTGTGCATGTGTGTGTTAACAAATGGGGCCAGGGAAACTCAGTGTAATATCACTTATTACTTGCTTAACATACATGATGCCCTTGATTCAACCATGCAAGACAGACAGACAAGACAGAAAGACAGACACACACACATACACACATGTTGATTGGACAATGCAAGTCATTTGCCATTTGTATCAAATAAGGACTTGACTAGATCACTAATTTTATATGTGTGGAACTTTTTTGCTCACTTGAAAACCAGAGTTTTAAATCACTGAGATCCTGGTAACATTAGAAGATCATTATTTTGGGTTTTATCTGGTCTCACACAAAATGAAAAGTATATTTTTTTCTCATATATGGAATCTGTGATAAGAAAGGTAGAAAGATAAAAGATTATAGATATGTAACAATAAGAGTCAGTGAAGAAGAGGATAATAAAATGTTATAGAGACCCATAAAAGTGTGTGTGTGTGTGTGTGTGTGTGTGTGTGTGTGTGTGACCATGAAATGTCACATGTATGGAAACATAATGAAACTCCTTACTGTTGACAAATAATATATAGAAATAAAAAAGAAACTGAAAAATATTTTCTTTCATGCTATATTACAAGTTATAAAAATGTTCCTCATTACAAAATAAGTGAATAAATAAATATGGTAATTAACCTGAGAAACCTATGTCATCTAGCTATGGAATAAGGTCAATGTTATCAGGAACAACAAAAGTTGTTTGGACTTGCAAATTTTCAGAAGCAGTCCTCTGAAATAAAATTCCCTAATTAAATCAATGATTTTTAATATTGAGATCAGAAAAATTAATATGTACTGAAGGTCAGCAAGGCTAGTTTATATTTAAAACTACATGCAATCAGAGAGACTAGTTTTCTTTTCTTTATAATGTGTGTTTTGAATGCTAAAATAAGAAATTTCAGAAGTTTTTAATAAAGATAGCTAATTTATTCAAAAACAAATGTGGAAAATCACCACTAAAAATTTAAATTCATCAAAACTAGAGTATTAAATGTATGTTTTATAGAATGTACAGTTTAGCATTCGAAGTTCCTTATCATAATGTATATGGTTAATTTTTCTCTACTTGCAGTAGTTCATGATATGGTTAAAGACCACAAAAAAATAACAAATGATGGATATATTTATCTAACCGGTATCAAAATAAAAGTCAAAAACTCCTGCCAAATCATGTAGTTCCAGAAACTATATGGCATGCAAATCTCTGAAATAATATATGATTCTATTACTCTTCTTGTCCTAGTTTAAAAGTCTCCAGCACTTACAGAGGATTTAATAAGGCACACCTGATTAAAAAATGTTACACAAAAAACCTGGCTGTTTGCTTTTCTTTCTGACTCATCTTATCACTTAAATCTTTAGTGACGTCGCCAGGAAGTCCAGCTTTTTCAGAAAACTCAGACTCTGTAATGGTGTTACCAAACCACAAATACAGGTATATTCTGCTCTTAGACCATCCTTATTAGTCTCAAATGTATCCTGCTGTCTTACTGTGTTGTTTGGATGGTAGTTGAGATGCAAGCCACTGTCACAAAGAGGAGAAGAGGTACCGCTGCTTTGGTCACTTGGAGCACCTGCAGGAGACAAAACCATAACATCTTACAGGTTACAATGTCATGTTGTTCCAAAAGTACTTTGTATAATTATTTTCAATAATAATATGAAAATTGGAGGATAAAACACAAAGAAATTTGTCTTACACCAATGCCAGAGCTTGGCAAGTGGCCATAAGTTTGGTACAGAGAGAGAGAGAGAGAGACCTAGGTCCTCTATGTATATTTATGACTTTGTAGCTTAGTCTTCATGTGGGACTCCTCACAATGGGAACAGGAGTTGTTTTTGACTCTTGTGCTGTCTTCTAAGACCCTATTCTTCATACTGGGTCGCCTTGCCCAGTCATAATACAAGGTGAAGTGCTTAATCTTACTACAACTAGGTATGTCATATTTTCTTGATATTCATGGGAGCCTTTACTTTTCTGAATAGGAATCAAGGAGGCGTGGATTAGGGGGCAGCAGAGAGATAGGAGAAGAGACTAAGAGGATGAAAAATAAATGAAAATTAAGATTAAATAAATTTAATAATAATAATTCAATTTAATAAATAATAAAAATTTAATAAAATAATTAGAAATAAATAATTGGGAAAGGTAAATATTTGACAATATAATTTTGAAAAACATATAAAATACGGGTAACATATCATTACCAAATAAATCAAAACATTGTTGAAATAAATGAAAATTTAAGATAAAGGAAAATTAGAGCAAATTAATTGAATGCAAAAGTTACATCTGTTACAGTGTTAAGTCTCTTAGTTGCCTATAAATGTAACCCCCTCTAAAAATTCTAATAACCCTTTAAAATAAATTACATAACCTTTTCTTATTTTGTGGTAGAAGTGATAGAAGAATGCCAAACATTCTAAAACAACTATAGCTAAGCTAGTCTGAGTGAATTGAAGATATGGAACCATCTCAATTATTAGCAGTTGTGAGTTAATTAAAACATACTCACACAATAATGGTAGAAAGAGTAAAAAACTGTTTAAAAATAAATTCAAATACACAAGAATGGACCACACACACACACCTTGATTCGATCTCAGAAATCAAAGATATATTCCGAATTTAAATAGAAAAAAAGGCAAGTAAGAAATTTTCTAAGGCCAAAGTAGATAGATAACATTAAAATCACTGACTTGGCAAATACTAATTACAGAGGATATATCAATCTATAATCATGCACTTCAAAACAGCAATAATGTATAGTAACCAAGTTACCTGAAAATAGAAATAAAACAAAAATAAAAATTTAAAGAAACAATAACAAACTTTAGTCAAAGAAATATCTCAGATAAAAATTTCTGACATCTTGAAGAATGAGAAATTGATACATGTGGTTCAACACATCACAGAGGATCACAGAGAAAATGTTTTCAATGAAATACTAAAAGAATATGCCTATAAAGCTTGGGAAATGCTCTAAGCAAACACTTTTTGAAATTAAATATAAATAAGAAGACGAACCTGATGAAGATTATTTAGCTATCCGCCAGGAGGTAGGAAATAGTCAAGAGTCCCAGGTAACCTCGGGTGCATGGGGGGGGGGGGGGTGGGAGGGTTGTTGGAAGGGGAGAGGGTTAGAGAGAAGGGAGTAGGGGAGGAATGGAGAAAGCTCGGCTGACCGGGATGGAGGGAAGGGAGGAAGGATGAATATGGGATCAGGGAAGAATATAGTTCAACTAAGGGAGTCATTTTAGAGTTTACAGGAAGCTTGATTATATATGGGATCCCAGGTCCAAGGAGAGATCCCCAGATTGTTCTCTGGACAGAGGAGAGGGTGCCTGAACCGGCCTTGGCCCATAACCATACTGATGAATATTTTGCTTATCACCATAGATCCTTCATCTGGCGTTGGATGGCGATACAGACGGAGACCCACATTGGAGCACCGGACTGAGCCCCCCAAGATCCAAATGAGGAGCAGAAGGAGGAAGAAAATGACGAAGGACTGCGAGGGATGCTATCACCCACTGATACAAGGGGACTGATCCAATGAGAGTTTACCAAGGCCAGTTGGACTGCGACTGAACGAGCACGTGATCCAACCAGATTCTCTGAATGTGACCGGATTCTCTGAATGTGGCTGGCCTGAAGTCTTTCTGAAAAGCCATTGACTATGATACTGGGACTTGTTTCCTCTGCATATACTGGATTTTTGGGATCCAGTCTGTTTGGATACTCACCTTCCTGGACCTGGAGGGAGGGGGGAGGAACTTGAACTTCCCACAGGGCAGGAAACCCTGACTGCCCTTAGGGACAAAGAGGGAGGAGGAGAGGGAGGGGGGGAGTGGGAGGGTGTTGGGAAGAGGGGCGTAAATGGAAACTTTTATAATTTAATAAAATTACTTTAAAAAAAGTTGTCAATAACCACATTATAAGCAATAATTATCATTGGTTGTTGGAAAAATATGACAACTTAGAGTGAAATGAACACGCTAAAGAGGATGTCTGGGAGAAAATCTTCAGCCGTTGTCTTAGTGAGGGTTACAACTGATGTGATAAAATACCATGACCAAAATAAAGTTACAAAAGAAAATGTTTGTTTGGCTTTTATTACCACATCACTGTTCATAATTGAAGGAAACCAGGACAGAAATTCAAACAAAGAAAAACCATGAGGAATGCTGCTTTCTTGCTTGCTCATTCTGGTTTTTATAGAATTCCAGGAACACCAGGTGAGAGATGATACCACGTAAATTGCGCTTAACCATTCTCCACTGATCACTAATTAAGAAATATGCCTCAAAAACTTATCTGCTTACAATTTGAATCTTCTAGAAGCATTTTCTCAACTGAGGCTCCTTCCTCTCAGATGACTATAGATTGTGTCAAGTTGACATAGAACTAGCAAGAACAGCGAATAAACATAGGGAATACTATGTAAAACATCCACAGTCTGCATGTTTTTCCTTGAGTATTCAGAGGAAGGATTTCACAAACATACTAAATTTTATATAGATCAAAAAATGGAAATTAAGATTTTGCTTCCAAAGAGATCAAGTTGATAACAGTAGAATATCCAAACGCTTTATCACATTGTAGAAATCAGTCAAATCCTGGTACCTCAAGGAAGCTTAAAAGTAAGAATAGTCACACTGAAGTATAGAGAAAACCATGATACTTCATGGGCAAGAGCTCATTCTTCAACATGGTAGCTTTTAATGAAGTTATGACCCAAATTTACTTTCTCTCTGGAAAGAAAAGAAAGGAAAGAACATGTGTTCAGCACTCCACTTCAAGCAACATGCTTCCATCTCATCTGACATGGTGTTATAAGGTTAGTTCTTTGAAACCTAACATAACAAAGCAAATAGAAGATTCAATAATATAACCTGTCTAACTGGCAGGAGAAATTGAGATATCTTAGTAATTGGGATAATATACGCTGTAATCCAGAGAAAACACATTTCCAGAATGTAATGGAGATCTCTTCACCCAAGTTGATTATTAAAAATCTTACCCAGTATGCAATTGGTTGGAAAATGGGTAAATTTAGTGTTCCCTCACAAAACAAATGCATATTCTGAAGTACAATATAGGAAGGAATATAGAGAAAAACATGAACCAACTAAAAGAACAGAAGATATCATAGAATGCAAACAGAAGGCATGGAAATCATCTAACAAGTAATCAAAAATAATAATTTTAAAGGAGCTTGGTGTGCAACAAGATAGCTGACAGCAAAACGAAATCAAATAAGTGAGTCATAAACAAGAAAATGCGAGCAAAGAGGCAGAAGGTAAGACAAAAAAAATGAATGAAACCAATTGTAGAGTAAGATAATATATGTGGCAACATATATAGGGTATAAAAATGCTAAAGCATATTTAATTAATGGGAAGAAAGATTCAGAAAAATCTACCACATGCATTTGAAACTAATAAGGCAGGAAAAATATCAAAGAAAGAAAAGTGTAGAAAGCCTTAGGTCATAACATCAACCAGGCTATTACATTACCATGGTCCTAAAAGAAGGGATGGATGAGCAGGGAACCTACGTGCTATAAAAAATATCAACTTAAAGTTTTCAACTCTGATAAAAAAATTAATAGAAATTCACACCAAAGGTGATCCACACAAAAGACAGAATTGTAATATAATGCAAGAGTATAATATAGTTAATATAATATAATGATAAGTATAGAAAAGAAAGGCTAATAAGGCAACCAGGAATAATACATCTAAAAAGTACATGGAAGAAAAACAAGCAGAAACATGGATCTTTTTAGGTAACAGGTACTGAGGAAAAATCTTCACTCGTCTGAGTTTTGCAAAATGATGGACCTCTTCAAGTTAAAATAAATGAACTCTGGGCAGATAAAATTACTTAAACAATAGAAATTTCTTGTTTAGATAAATAACTGAGTAAATATATAGTCTTTTAAGAATGTCTTAGAGTTTTAGATATCAGAAGTCCTGAATTATAAAGTAGGAGTTTAATTTAAAAATTGTCTTAACTTTTAAACAGTTGGGAATTTGATAATAAAAAGTAAAGACGAAATACTGTAAAGGGATTGTGTTTATGTGATAATAAAGCTACCAATTCACTTTGAAATTCATTGACAATAAAAGTTTTCTATGTTTGTAAACTTGTATTTCTGGGGATATAACCAAAAGTCTTACCTATGATATTCAAGTTCTTTATCAATGAGCTACATTCTAAGCCCTGGACTGTCAGTAAATAATCTATACGATCTAATAAACTACACAGAGTAAGTTCAACAGTTACTTTCTCTTGCTTATATAAATTATTTCTAATAGCAATTAAAGAAAAAGAAAAATAATTTACTACAACAATAACATAAAATTTAGTGCTTATTTTTAATAATGGATAAAACATAAAATATAGAGAAGAAACAGAAAACTGGGCTTCAACAACCCTACAGATATATTTTCAGTAAAACACAAAGATAGGGCACTCCATCAACAATAGTAGTCTTTTTGTGTGCACACAATTTTTATCTTGATTTACAGACTATTTTTCTTAATTAACAGACTATGTCATAAAGTGAATCTTGATGAATTTTAGATCAAGATTCAATTATGTATCTTTTCTGTGTGACCAATAGGAATGGCAAAAGTTGCACAAACTCATGTAATCTAAACAACACACTATTTTATGGAAACTCTCAAAGGAAGAGTCAAAAAGAAAATTAAAAATTATCAGAGGTTCCACAGTCAAACAGTAGGCAGACCTCAGGGAATCCTTTGAAAAAGTAGAAGGAAGGATTGTGGGTTCCAGTGGAGACAAGGAAACCACAAGAAAATCCACATACTCAGCTAACCTGGCTCACAAAGATAGAACAAACAATCAGAGATCTTGCATGGGACTGGCTTAGGCCCTATACACATATGTTACAGTTGTGTAGCTTGGTCTTCCAGTGGGACTGCTAACAGTGGGAGTAGGAGATGTCTCTGACTCTGTTACCTGCTTTAGGGTGCCTTTCCTCCTACAACTCTAGTGTGGGGACTGAAACCTAGAAACATAAACACTGCATGTTCTCCCCTATGCAGGTGCTAACATTCAATATTGAGTAGTGGGTTTTAGTTGGAACATCCACAGAAGCTAGGTATCCAGTAAAAAGACCTTGGCGGTAGAGGATATCTTTCAAGAAAGTTTAAGTAGAATATAGTGTTTTAAAGAAGTAATGGGGAAAACCAGAACAGGAAAAATTAAATTGGATAGAGAATGGGAAGAAATGGTAGAGGAAGGAATGGGGGGTGGATCCCTAACACTAAACATTTTTGAGAAAGTCAAATAGAAACATAGAAACCTAGTTCTGCAGAAACAATAAAATATAGACACATATATATACACATGAATATATAAAAAGTGCTTAAATATAGTTACTCTATAATAGGAAAACAAAGCCCATATTATATACCATATGCTACCAAATAAAATCCCCAGTGTTAGGAATGAATCTTTTAGAGTGGTTAGCCAATGAGGTCTTATAGACCCTGCCCCAAAAATTGTAGGCTATTTCCAGTGCTACTGATTACCCTCTAGAGCGTGATGGTAAGACACCTTTATTGCTGAAAACAACACTTTGCTACATTATAGAGCACAGAGAAATGTAATTGATACTCCAAAAGAAGCTTCATTACTACTGGTTAGTCTCCATAGCTCTGAAAATACTGTATACACTACCAGAACAGAAAGGTATCTATTAAAGTTATAAATCCTATGATAAAACTATAAAGCCTGGCAATATATGTCCAGTTGTGCAATAATGGCATAGATGTATGAGTGACCACTCTCTTTTTAATTGGAACTAAGTCCTACTCCATGAAATGAAACCCACTCCCAAGACTGCCAGTGAGATCAAGAACTTATGGCAAGATATGTCAAGGGCTCTGATAAAACCTACAATCATTCTGATAATTAGACAGAGAAAACTCCTAATTAATTATGGTTATACCCATGAACTCTAGTAGATGGCTCAGTCCTCATCATGAAAACTTCATTTTGCAATAGATAGCAATTAACACAGAAGTCCACAACTGTTCAATGCACAGAGAATGTAAGGCTTCAGAATGCTAACTCTTACATGTGATTTCTGTATCAAATTCCCTTTAAGGTCTATGGATATATGCAGAATAAGAAAGAGAAAGATTGTAAGAGCCAGAGTTAGAATACGTTTTTATAAAAAATTATACTTTTCATGCTTAACATGAAAGAGGCACATACGACTCACTGAAATTGCCACAGCATGCACAAAGCTTGCACAAGGCCAAGCCCCAAAATATCTCATTATATGAATGACATTTATGTAACATGAGATACAAATGCAAAAAAAAGTGTGCAAAGATGCTGATCACTACTAATGATTAGGTAAGTTCAAACCAGAACTACAAAATCACTGTACAATCATTGAAAACAAAACAGCAAGAAAATGAATATGATTCAAAGACTTAGGAAATCTTGACAGCGTTGGTGAGAATGTGAAGTGACTGTGCTTTTTCAGTCAGTTCTCCAGTTAGTGTTTAAAACATTAAGCAGAGGGCACATAAGCAGAAATCCCATTTCTGGATGCACATCCCATCGATATAAAGCATGCTCTCAAAGTGATATCTGTACAAATACAGCCTTGTTGACAGCAGCAAACCAACGTAACCAATAAAGTGTTCATTCCCAGATAAAAGTTCAAATGAAATTTTTATTCACTTTCAGAAACAAAGAGTATCTTGTCCTAAGGCCAAGGATTAAGTTCCACCGTTTATTAACAGCACAGACACACACAGATACACACAAATACACCCACACTCAGAGGCAGGCACACACAGACACACACAGACACACACACACACACACACACACAAGAAAGAGAGGGATAGCTGGAGAGAGAAGGGGACAGGGCGAGAGGGAGAGAAAGAAAAACCTCAACAAGAAGAAAAAATTGTTTTAAACAATGTAAAAATGTTCTGAAAATTCATTTATTCCAAAGAAATAAGAATGCTAAGAAGCAGATAGAGCACGGTAAAATGCTGGGTGTAATGAAAATTCAGGGGCTAGCAGTGTGGGTAAAAATTAGTTAGGTGACAGATTTCGTTATCACCAGAAAGCAAAGGTGTGAATATTTTCAACATACAGAAATTATAAACTTTTGACTTGCAAGAAAAGCTAATTCCACATTATTTGGTGACTACATGCAATGTGCATGTATTAATATATCACATTGTACTCTATGAAAAAAATGCCAACTACAGGTTGGAAAGAAGAGGTGGAAGAGAGCAAATGCAGTGCTGTGATTACTCACTCCACTCTACAAATGCAGCGCTGTGATTACTCACTCCACTCTACAAATGCTTACATGCGCAGTCTTCATTCAGTGGGAGCTTGAGGAATGCAGGTGCCCTTTTTAAAAATGACACCGTCAGCGTCACTTCCTCTCCAGCGTTCCGGAGCACCTGGACCTGCAAACAGAAAAGATGAAAAGAATGTAGCCATCCTTAGTTACACAATTTCTTATAATTATCAGTTCTGGGCAATATTGATTGTTTTCCCACCTCTTGGTTTTCCCTTGTTAACAGAAACACTGTGAAAGATAAAAGGGTAATTTCCTCAAGAGTGCTGTCACAGACCCAACATGTCCTTTTGTTCCAGTGTTATAAGTTGTACTGCAAATCTCTCAGTCACATCCACCTCTTGAGTCAAGTTTAACTTAGGCAGTGTCAGAGATGAGATCATAGGGTATACGGATATTGCAGATATTGAGTAATTTTGGAGTCAGTATATCTGTTAATTTACTTTCTATTTATTTGGTATCTCTTATATAGTGTAAAACTGAGTAATCTTTGATGGTAAAAGGAAAATGATATTGCAGGTATAGACCAAAGAATTTTTGTAAAGCTTCATCAATTTATAAAAACCCTTCGTGGAAACTTTACTAAAGCTTTTCCTTTTCCTGAAAAATCTGAGAAAGCAAAAGCATTTGGGATCATCAATAACTTTCAGCATTTGAAATTATTGAAGAATTAGGTCAAGTTTTCTCAGCTGAAACAGTCATGATTAGCTTAAAAATCTATGCAATAAAAGTAATCAATGGAAAATCAACATAAGAAAGGAATGGAAGAAAGGCTGAGTCAGAGATCTGTAAGTCACAATGTAGTTAGTTGTAGCAAATCTCACAAATATAGGTATGATTAGAAACTTTGATGTGCACCACAGATAGATCTAGGAATCCTTAATGAAGAAGTAGTTAAAAGAAACACAAAACATGCATTGCCCATCAACAGACAATCTCTTTCATGTTGGGAATTTCACGTTGTTCCCTAAATCCTCTTTCACAAGCAGAGAGACTGGACAACCAGAACAGAGGTCAGAGTTTCTCATCCTGAAACTCCAGAAAACTCACCCTGAAGATAAAACCTAGGATGGTAAATAAGGTCCACCATTAACATCAACTTGTCCCCTCCCTCAGTGCAAGGCTGACTGACTGGAAATCTCCAGCTAAAACAACCCTTCCCTAATTTGTGACACTGGGAGCCTGAAATGGAAAGCTCTCTCATCTCTTCAGGCTAAAAGAGCAGAAACCAGTGGGATTTCCAGTGATAAAAAGATCAAACAACCAGAATAAAATGTTGCAAGTAGATTCTTTACTACATAGTCTAAAAGAATCCCTAGCCAGACCTGTGAATTAACAGTTAATTCCAAACTTAAAAAAAAAATAGGAAACTAACATAGGATCTTTATTAACAATTATCTAACACAATTCTAAAAAGTTAGTGAAGAGGAGGTAAAAATTGTTTAAAGCAAAACAATCACAGTTTGAAAGAGAATTTCAACAACCAGTTCATGATAAGGGAAACCACCTTTTAGAATGGTATGAGAAAGACCATAAAATTACCTTTACAATATCTAACAATTAAAATGTTATAAACATTCAGCAAAGAAATGTCAAATTATAAATTTATTAAAACAGCATTCATAGAACAGAAAAGTATAATGACATGAGTAGAATATTTTCTAGAGTAAAGAAGAGAGCCTCGCTAGAGAATTAGGAAAACTGAATCACCAGGGAGAAGAGCTCCAGTGGCAGTCAGGCATCACACGTGTGAACCATCCTTAAATGTGCTTAAATAAATAAAATGCCAAAATATGTAAAGACACGACCTCTTGGTCAGGCGGAGTTCAATCTAAGAATGTAGCACTATTTAGCATTAAAAACTGAATTTGTGTAATTAATCATATTAAAAAGTTAAGTGGAGCCAGAATATAAAGAGTTACAAAATTAAGTACACATGTGTAATAAACACTGAATAAGAACAGAATCAAACTTTTTAGAGTTGATACATGTACTATTAATGATAATTACTTTAGTCAATTTTTTAATGGAGGTGCTAATTCAGACAATGCACACTGAGTTAAAAAAAATAGGAATCTGAATTCAAAAGAGAGAAATGGAATTGTCTTGAGTTGCAAGACTTACTCAGACAATAGGTAAAGTATTAGAATTAAAATAAAAATAGTCACAAGTCATAAGGTTAATGACATGGGACCAATGCACATTCAACTGCTTCTCTATAAGCTGACAATAAAAATACTGATTTTAATAAGTAAGATCATATATAAAATCAATAGTAATATGAAGCACTCATGTACTAACCTGTCAGAAGTTATGAAAATACTATGTACTTAGCTATACAGAATATTATTAATAGTATTTTTAACATATCTAAACATGTGCTACTCAATATTGCAAAGTTTTGATTAATATCATTATCTGACCTACACTTTGAAACATATTATAATGGAGACCCAGAAAGTTTTTCTAAAGAAATTCTCAAATTGATCTTGATAATCATTCACATAGAAATTCAAAAATTATAGGAAAAACATCAAAGGAGCAGGAGGGTTTAGCTGTCCAGTTAGCCTTATTTATTTAAAGAATTAAGAAGGCTGAAATACTAAGATTTATATATATATATATATATGGGATGTGTATATACATACATATATGCATACATATATGTATGTATATATATGATGTATTCAGATCTAGACATAAAGACATACTATAAGTCATAAAATCAAGAACGTGAAGGTATCTCAAATGAAAATTCAGTGATGAAACAAATAGTCCAGCAAAATGTGATAAAAAATGATCAAACATATATATCCCTAAAGAACATATGCCATATTTTTTGAAATCCACAAAAAATCAATAAAAAAGTTTGATTTTTTTCATAATTAAGTGTTTTTTTAATTTATCAGGTTTTCCCTTCTTTTTTTTCCTCTGATAATTTTTTATTACTTTATAAATAATAGGAATCAAAATTTCCACTTCCTCCCCTCCTCCCACTTTCCTCCAGTTCCCCCACTCACGCTCCCCCCTCCAGTCCTATTAGAGGTCAAGGCACCCTGCCCTGTGGGAAGTCCAAGGCCCTCCCCACTCCATCCAGGCTTAGGAAGGTGTGCATCCAAATAGACTAGGATCCCAAAAAGGCAGTACATACAGTAGAGACAAATCCCAGTGTCATTATCATTGGCTTCTCAGGCTGCCCCAATTGTCATCCACATTCAGAGGGTCCAGTTTGAATACCATATTTTATGTGCAAGGTGACTACTATTAGGAAAAGGCAAATACTACTCTAATTCTTTTACAGCAATGCCAGTTGTTGCTAAGGCTGTGTAGGAATGCGAATTCTCATATCTGACTGATAAAAATGAAAGAAGTGTGTGTGGGCTTCAGCATGGAATCACACTGTCATACATATATATAATTAGTTTCCTTTTTAATGTTTTTTGTTAATGACATAAAATAATGTGCTTCATTATATTTTCATATGTGCATATGATTTCAGAGTGCTCATTTGTAATCACCTTCACACAAACCTCCTGCATCATTTCTTTTCCTTCTCATTGCCCCATCTTCCCCAAGATAATCTCTTCTGCTTTCACACCTTACTTTACTTTGTGTTGTTAAATGTATGTTCCAGAGAGAATATGAGATGAGAAATGATAAGACCCCTTTTACACTTTCATTTGATCTCTTTATTGCTGTGGGAGTACCTTCCACTCCTTCAGCCAATAGTTGCTGAAGTACGAACCCACAGAGCTGCGGGAGCGCCTTCCACTCCTTCAGCCAATAGCTGCTGAAATACCAGCCCACTGGGGCGTGGTCTATTTCTCTCTTAAAAAGAGCCACAAGTCTCGGCTCGGCCTCTCTTGGTTCCAGCGCTTGATTTAGGCTCCTGCTCCAGCGACTTGGCTCCTTTCCTGACGGTTTGTGTGTATGTAAGTTTTACCCCCCAAAATAAATACCCCTTTAAAACCTAACTGGTGTGGGATTGATTTGCCATTATCTGGCGCCCGAATGTGAGTCTTTCACCCCTCGTGGTGCGGGCCGAGCAGCCGCTGAAACAGTAGGCAGCTACCTACAGCTTCCGTAGGCGTTCCGTAAAGCCTGCACTGGATCCCAGCTCCGTTCAATAGAATTAGGCCAGGGAACTTGTTTCCAGAGTCGCACACCACTGACGACTACCCCCCTCCGAACCTCGGACGGATCGAAGAGGGGCGCACGGCAGCTCTATCCCCCCTTGAGCAGTGTATTCCCTGCTGCCCCGGCTGAGTTTGGCCTGTGCTGCTAGCCTAAATTTAACATCTGGATTTGAGTGTATATATTTTAGAATTTACTTCCTGGATTGACGCCATTGTCATGTGGATTCAGGTGCCCCCACCACCTACTGGCAGGCAACGGTCATTACAGGTAAGATTTTTCTTTTCGGTTGAAAATAAATAAATACATACATACAAGTACAATTTCTTTTGATTGAAAATGTCAGAAAATATTACTATCCAAAAGTTCAATGTTTTTTTTAATTGTACTATGGAGGATATTCTGAAGGAAGTCTCAGATATTCCTCTTACTTGGTTATTCCTGGGATCTGTCGCTTTTCTGGTGTTTGGCTATTTTATAAGGATGATACAGTCCTTACAGACTGAATCCACAATGCTGAGGGTGGAGATTAAAACCTTAAGGACAATTCAGACTGACACCAACTTCCTCAAAAAAGAGTTTGGAGTTCTCAAAGAGGAGACTATATTTTTGTCTGAACTAAATAGGTTCTGTGAGTATGAAGCTCTGGAATATACTAAATCATATTTCTGAATTTATAGAGCTGGTTTTTGAGTTGGACTCTTGGCTCAGTCCCTCTCTAATTCCAAGTCTGTTGTTAGGAGAAAACCCAGAGTTTCTGAAGTTTCTGTCTTATGTCAAGAGCCATGATATGAGACAGAAAGAAATATGAGTTTAGAAAACATCTTTGCTTTTCTTCATATCTATCATACTTTTCATTGAATATGTCTATCATACCTTTCATTGAATATATGTTTGTATATGTCTATATAATTAATGTTTAAGTTTTCCACAATGAACAATGAGTTTTTCGTGTGCTGACTTTTGATGTTTCCA